TCACTCTGCCTAAGGGGGCAACCCCAATGCTGGTCTTGGGGAGCTTACAACCGGCAGTTCCAAATCCTCTACCCCTCCAGGTGTGCTTGGGCCCTTTATGCCTTTCTCAAGCCTTATCTCATGGAGGGAGAACTGGGTAATAAGGGCCTCATTCTCACAGGGGCATATCCTCTCGTCCTTGCTGCTCCCTCCCATTCAGGTCCACAGCCACCTCATCACACAACGAGATGTCTTCTCTCAAGAAACACCCCTAGACATGGCCCCAGCCTCCTTTGATGACCAGTACACTGGCTGTGCAGCAGCTATGATGGCTGCCCTTACAGATCTCAACCACACGGAGTTTCAGACCAATAAAGTGTATGCAGATGGCTGGGCACTGGCAAACAGTCAATGGCAGGAGCGCCAGACCTGGGGGCCAATGTGGGGCCTCAGCCCTACCCGCCTTCCCCCACCACCTCCAGGCTTCCGAGATGAGCATGGGGTGGCCCTCTTGGCCTATACAGCCAACAGCCCCCTGCACAAGGAGTTCAATGCAGCCGTGCGCGAGGCAGGCCGCTCTCGGGCTCACTACCTCCATCACTTCTCCTTCAAGACACTCCACTTCCTGTTGACTGAGGCCTTGCAGCTGCTGGGCAGGGGTCAGCGTTCACCCCAGTGCCGCCAGGTGTACCGAGGGGTGCATGGCCTGCGCTTCCGGCCAGCAGGGCCTGGGGCTACGGTAAGACTAGGGGGCTTTGCCTCCGCATCCCTGCAGAATGTTGCAGCCCAGCAGTTTGGAGAGGACACCTTCTTTGGCATCTGGACCTGCCTTGGGGCTCCTATCAAGGGTTACTCCTTTTTCCCTGGAGAGGAGGAGGTGCTAATCCCACCGTTTGAGACCTTCCAGGTGATCAATGCCAGCCGACCCGCCCAAGGCCCAGCCCGCATCTACCTCCGTGCCCTGGGCAAGCGCAGCACATACAATTGCGAGTACATCAAAGGTGAGGAGGGGCACAGGGTCAAAACTGTGCAGAAAAGTGGGCTTCTGCATCTACAAAGGATTTTGGCAAAACTGAGCCCCGTCCTGTGTCCCAGGGATACCTTCATACATATTAAAAGTAAACCATCAGTGAGGAGCAGCAGTCATGGCACAGTCCCTCCAGCCTCCCATTGTTTCTGAAGTGGAATGCTTCTAGTCCCTGAAGGTATCTAGGCCACAGATGGCCACCTGCTTGATGGGAGGCTAAAGAGGGCTCCCTGACCAAGGCAGGGTCATAAGCTATCTGAGGGGGCAGGCACACCTGGTCACACTCTTCTCCCAGCAGGAAAGGAACTCATTTCCAGCTACAGAATCAATACACAGACTGCTGTGGCCAAAAATGAGTGAAAGTCCCAACTTCCATTTCTAGGAGAAGCATATTTATAATACAGAATAGGAATTGTGTGCTGTATCATGTGCTGGGTTGGGAGGGGGCGAGACAGCAGCTGGCGTTACACTCCAAAGTTTCACTTCAGGCTTAGGTCAGGCAGGTGTTGATTGCCCCTCCTGTCCCATCCTGGGTCTGGCTGGAGACAGAATCATGAGGTGAAGACAGGTCCATTAATTTCTGAAGAGGCTGTGCACTGCTGTTCCTGGCCGAGCAAGGCTCAGTTTTATTTATTCTTTTTAAATAGTTGTAGATGGACAACATGCCTTTATTTTTATTTATTTACTTTTTTATGTGGTGCTGAGGATTGAACCCAGTGCCTCACACATGGTAGACAAGTGCTGTGCTTCTGAGCTACAGCCCCAGCCCAAGGCTCAGTTTTCATAGAGGACAGAACTGTGACCCCGGCTAAAATGGTCCATTGTGGCTTCTGGTCCCAATTTGGACAGGAAGCATAATGACATGAGCTGACAGAGAAGACAGGCCAAAACACAAGTCCCCTTGGCTGGTTCAAGGAGCCGGAGAGGTGAGTGTAGCAAGGAGGCACAGTTACAGCTATGGGAGCAAAAGTCGCCCAGAAGGGGCCCTAGCTTTGATGACTGCCTTCTGGCCCCACTGCTCATGGATCAAGTTAAACAGCCCAGGGAATTCCCATCCTGGGCTAGAGGGAAATGGACCAGCAGAACTAGAAGGAAATGGACCAGCAGAACTAGAAGGAAATGGACCAGCTTTTTCTAAGCAAGACAGGGCTGAGTCACCAGAGCTCTGAGGGTTCTTTTCACCTGGAAAGATACTGCGGCTTTTGTTGATTTTTTGCTCTTTGTTTCCTACAGACAAGAAGTGCAAGTCTGGATCCTGTCATCTGGATAACTCAGGTAAGGGCCGCAGGCATCCGAGAGATTCAGGGTAGGGATGGCCTTTTACTTCAGCTACAGAACCCACTGTCCCTATTAATGTATTCAGTACTTGCTCAGACCCACCTTTGAAGGCCAAGGCCTGGTCTTGGGTTCTGGAAGTCTGGATTCTAGTCCCGCCTCTACTTTAATTTTCTCTATGACCAACCTGTTTTTCTCTGGGCCTCAATTTCCCTATTTGTAAATAAGCAAGTAAGACCAGATGTCACCAGGGTTTCTTCTCTTCCTTTGAACACCTATCTATGCTAGGGCTTACCTGGGCCACCACTTCTCTTTGAGGAAATAGGCTACTTCCAGAGAAGAAACAGCAACTCCCCTGCCCCCAGCTGTGGGTCCTTCCTCCCTTCCTCTCTTGGGGGCTCTCCAAGTCACCGGCAGGAAGGATCCCAGTCTCATTTTGTTCTCCCCATTCTCCTGACAGTAGTACTTAAGAGTTCCAGGTGCATCACAACATTATCCTACCATACTCCAGTATCACCCCATTCTATGGAAAACAGAACTAAGGCCCAGAGAGAAGCAACCAGCCCTTGGCCACACAGCTCCTAAGGGGCTGTAGAACCAAACTCTGAACCACCCTACAGGATGGCTCCCACCTTCCCCACACATCATCTCATCTATCCTTACCAGACAATAGTCTGCTAGAAGGAGGCAGAACAGGATTATGGACCTCATTATATATAGTAAAGTGAGACCAGAGACAGAAGCGACTTGCCTAAGGTGACAGAATAAGTGGCAAAGCCAAGACCAGAGGCTATCCCAGCCACAAACTCAGGCCTCTTCTTTAAGTTCTGATATAATTTCAGACACTGGAAGAATTTAGGATGTCTCCCCCACAGTCTACCCAGCATGTCTCCTACCAGGTATGGGCAGAGGAGCCAAGTTTAGCATTACTAGACCTCATTCAGATCTCTATCCCTCATTCTATCCCACCCTCACACCACATTTTTGTCGACTTCAGAAGGCATGGGGTTCAACCTAAAGACCTCTGGAAGGGGAACCTGGGCTCTCACTGATCTCTATATTAGTCTACCTTACTCTCTCAATTCTTGCGTTTCATCTGTCTTCCATTATATTTTGTGTATCAGTCCTGCACACTCTGACAGTTTCTCCATCCTGTTTCTTTTTTCTTTTTTAGTTATAGTTGGACACAATACCTTTATTTATTTTTATGCCGTGCTGAGGATTGAACCTAGGGCCTCACACGAGCGAGGTGAGTGCTCTACCACTGAGCCACAACCTCAGCCCATTTTATTTTTTTTCTTTTTAATATTTTTTTTAGTTGTAGATGGATTCAATATCTATATTTTATGTGGTGCTGAGAATAGAACCCAGTGCCTTAGCTAGGCAAGCATTCTACCGCTGAGCCACAATCCCAGCCCCTCCGTCTTGTTTCATAATGTCCTCACTTTGCTCCTAAATCTCTCTCTCCCTCCCCATCTTTGCTTTCCCTGCAGCTACAGGTCAAGGCTCCCTCTTCACAGTCTGGTCCCTTCTGCTGCTGCTCCAGTTCCTTGTCGTGGGGTCCCTTCCAGAGAGTCCAGGCTTCCTCTGATCCATCAGACACTGAGCAGCCTTACCTGACATTCTGCCAACCTAAGGATGTTGGCCATGTGTGTACTTTAAGTGTAGCCAAGATGCCTGGTAAACCCATTTGCAGGGATCTGGGACCTTCTCTGACAGCTTCCAGACCTCTCAGACCTGGAGACACAATAAAGAATTTAGGGACTGAATCTTCCACCAGGGTGCTAGGAATGATACTCTGACTAGAGGCAGGAGGATTCCAGAACAGGCAATCACTCACTTGGAGATAGAAGAGATTTCAATTTATTGGGGGCTGACTGGGTAGGAAAGCACTTGGCCATAGGACTTGCTAGTGTAATTCAAATGCTTCACATATTTACCTGGAAAGCTCTAATTCACTCCTCCAGGAAGCCTTCTCTGACCTCTGCCACCTGCCTGGGTTATGGGCCCTGCCTCTGTGAATGCTTCCCATATCAGATTGTGAGATTCCTGAGGATAGGGACCAAGTCTGAGGCACAGAGATAATGCCTGGAACTGTGTGGAAGTCAGAAAGGGACAAATTCCTGTGAAAGGCTGGTCTCTGCACTGCCCCTACTTTGGACACTTTCAAGCTCGCCAAATGTAAGTGTGTGGGAATTGGATGGACTGCATCTAAGTCCAGAGCTCAGAGAGAAGAAGAAATAGAGCTTTAGGCCCTCTCTGAGAGTCCCAGCCAAATCCCAGTTTTCTTGTCAGCAAAGATGTTAATTTATGCTGTGATTCATGAGTCCTGAGGTGCCTGTCTCTAGAGAAAAACATGGATCCCTGACTTCTGCCACCATAGACCACCAGGGGAAGACAGGACATCAAGGAGATACTAGGCACACACTTTATTATAGATTAAGGCTTTGGAAACAGATGTCTGTTTCACTTCTTGCTCTGGAAAGCAGACAACGAATTGTTTTCCCTGAGCCCTAGATAGTGATAGGCAAGACCGACCATGTTTCCAAAGCAGTGGCTGCCTATAAAGACAGGAAATGCAGTAACCCTCTTCCTTCTTCCTTCCTTCCTGAGCTGGGGATTGAATCCAGGACATTTTAACACTGAGCTACATTCCCAGGCCTTTTTTAATTTTTGAGACAGGGTCTCGCTAATTGCTGAGGTGGGCCTCAAACTTGTGTGATCCTCCTTCCTTAGCCTCCTGAGCTGCTGGGATTACAGGGGTGCACCACCATACCCCGCTGCTGCTTCTTATGTAATCACCTGCTCTTTTCCCACTAAGAGCTCTAACTCTGAGCATGCTCATTCAGTTCTGTCCAAGTTTATACTTCAATCTTGATCCTTCCTGGAGTTCTTCTTTAGGAATTAGGGCAGTGTTAGGATCTGGATCCCGCTTAGTAAGGGCATGGACACAACAAGGGTTCCTTGTAGATTGTGAAATCAGCAGTACTGATTCTGAAGAGAGGGTTTCCCAGGGTCTTAGCAGCAGTAAGGAGAGGCTGGATTATTTGAGGATCAACAACCACCTGGCTTTTGCCATCCATCCTGTGGCTGCTGTGGCTATGGATGCTTTCTGGGACCCAGTCCCAGCTCCTCACAGGGCCTGTACCAGCACCAGAAGACTCATGACCAGGGCCATGGAAAAGAAGATTCCCAGGAAGAAGCGGTCCATCACACGTGCCAGGCGCTTCCAGTCTTCACGGCGGCGCTGGGCAGCCCTGTGGCTGCAGAAGGTGCTGGCAATGGTGGATACATGGTGTAATAGGGCTTCCTGCCTGCACAGACAATGTGGCTCATGGCAAGGCCCTGCTGGGGGGCCAGCAGGCGGCTGGGGGCTGGGGACTGGCTCCGGTGGCCTGGGCTGTCCACAGGGCTCCCCTCGTTCTCGCACACACAGGCCTCTTGCCAGGTGTCCTAGCAGGAGGACCCTAGCCCAGGCTGGTACTGGGCGGGCACTGGGACCACAGTAATGCAGATTCATGATAAGGATGGTAAGTGCTGTCGAGAATGTAACCATGGTCATAGTGGCCATGTAGTACTTCCCTGTAAGAGAAATAACCAGTTGGGGTCCCAAAGAACTTCAGGATCATGAGTTTCTCAGCTGCCTCCCCCCTAAATAGAAGCCCTCCAGAAGGCTTTGAGGACTCTTCAAACCCAATGAATAGAAAAACAAAGGAGTTAAGAGCCCAGTTCTCCTCATTCCTCATCCCTCCCAGTGCACCCTCAGAAGTTGCCTGCCTCCTGCTTGTTTTCTACACTGGTGGAGGCCCATATAGTTATGGGCATACTCTCAGGCTACATGCCAATCCTTTCTATACAACTGGGACAACAAGACGTTGTCCACAGACGTCTGTGGTAATGCTCACCTAAGTTAATAAATGTCAAACACACAGAAGAATGCCTGGCACACAGGGAGCACACAATACATTTTGCCTATTATTATATGATCTTCCTTCATCAAAGCCCCAAGACTGACTCCTTCCCGCCCCTAGTGGTGAGGGCTTTTCTACTTTTTTCCCCTCACTTCAAAATGCAGGATGCGCCCATGACTCACTCTCTCCCACTGAAGCAGAGCCAGTCTGCGGCCTCAATCCCTGAATCCGCTCCTGGTTGGGCTGGAGCTCAGCGTTCCCCTGCCCTGTATTATGGATGCCCAGGAGCCTCAGCCCAGAAGGGGACCACCTCTCCCAACGTCCAGGCGGGCTCACCGATAAGTGGCACGCTCTCTGCTGGCGGCATACTCTCAGCCAGGAGCAGCTGGAAGACGGTGAGCGCCAGTAGCACGGTGACCCCGAGTGACACCTTCTCTCCCGAATTAGCTGGTAGGTGGAAGGCGAGTGGCGCAAGCAGCGAGATGAGCACGCAGGGAAGCAGCAGGTTGCACACATAGGCGGCGGCGCGGCGGCGCAGCAGCAGCGTGAAGGTCACGTCGGGGTAGGGCTCTGAGCAACAGCCATAGGTGAGCACACGCCGCCGGGCCGGCATGCCCAGCACACGCCACTCCACGTTTTCCACGAAGTCAGCCAGGCTGGCGGCGGCGCCACGAGGCCGCACATCCAGCTGATGCCCACCATGTGTCCATGAGCCAAACGTCAGTCCACAGCGCTGAGCGTCGAATGGGAAGGCTGACACGTCTACGGGGCATGAGCTACGCGTGATGGCCGGTGCATCCCAGCGCACTGCGCCATCATGCCGCACAACCACATTCGTGCTGGCGGATGCCGATGACTGCGCGTCAGCCCTGCGAGCAAGCGGGACGAGGCTCACCAAAGTGGCCACAGCGGAAGAGTGCCCCTTAATTCATAGAGGGCAGTGCAGCACCAAGGGTGGAGTGTGCCGTAAAGTGAAATTCCACCTTTGGAGGTCTAAAATATGTAGTGCCTGAAGGAGTCTGAAGGGACACAGTGCTAGCCCAGGACAGGACAAAAAGGCTTTTGTAAAACTGGTGGTGACGTTGGGAGTATCCTTGGGTATCATCTTCAAAACTCATTAGAGGGCCACGGGAAAGCTATGTAATACCACGTATTATTTGGGAGAGACAGAACTGATTAAGGTGGCATAAAAGAATGCTTCAGAGAGCTAGACCCTGGAAGAGAAAGCTCTGGGAATCCCTGAGACTTCGAGCTGGTCTTGCAGAGTGGAGGGTGCCAGAGAGGTAATGTACCACAGACATCTTTCTTTGAGAGACATAATTGGTCAGAACCATGTAACGGGTTCCCAGGACACATTAAGTTTGAGTTGGCTTGGGACAGCCTAAAATGGGGGCCCCATGGAGGGTCTGTGAGCTTCTGGTATTTTAGATGGGTCCCAGGGAGAGTTTCCTGGGCAGCATAGCAACAGAGATTAGGTGGTGGGGAGGGGGATCAATACACACCCAGGGCTAAGGGCAACTCTCTAAAGGGATAGGAAAGGGGAGGGGCCCAGGCAGGCAGTACTTGTTATAGAGCACGATGTCTGGCCGCCACACAAGACTACTGGGGATGCGGATGGAATCCAGGCCACCATAGGCATTGGGGTCCCATCGTAGGTAGGCATCCATCCATTCCTGCCGGATCCACAGGTACAGGGTCAGCACCTGGTTCCGTTCATCCTGGTGGGGGTAGGGAGTAGACATCTGTATAAACATATCTTGCCCTCTTTGTGCATACTCACCTACAGGATTCTGGTCAGCACCCACTAAAATGATTTGTATATACAGTCTAGTACTTGTTATGTCACCTTGGCCTCACTTTCCTCAGCAGTTACATGGGGTGAGATTCAGGTATGAGATTGAGTTCAGGTGGGCAAAGTGTTGGGCACAGTGGGAACCCCACAATTAATAGATGTTATCATTGTTGTTAATATAATGCTTGCAGATAAAGAATTATTGGGATAATAATCCCCATCTCTTATCCCTTTGTCCCCTTGACATGGTTACAAATAACATTCTACAGCTGTACTACCACCATAACGCACCATATCGATGATCTGGGACAATGTCACTTCCAAGGTCACATTCAGAGTCTGGTCTGTGTCTGCCACAGGTCTGAGGGCACTTGTGTAGTTGGCGAAGAGGTCACGGAACAGCTTGTGAGCCAGCCTGCCCTCAGCTCCCAAGCACTCTGGAGGATTGATTAGAAGGGTTGTCCATCCATGACCCTAGTCGAGGGGCTCTTTGCTCATATCCTCCACCCCTGGCTGGAACCTTATCATCTGCTTCACTATTTTATAGCCTTCTGATATTTGTCCTCTGTCCCTTTATCTATGGCTCTTTCCTCCCTGGTCTGCCTCTAGGGAGGAATTAAGTAAAGACCATGGAACTCGTCTCTGGAGCAATGCTGACTATTTCTTCCCCACTCTTCCCTGCCCAAGGACCTGGATTCTTCCTGCCTTGCTACAGAGGCTAGAAGGACCCAAATAGGCCACAGGAATCCAAATTGTTATCCAGGTATTCTGAATTCTATTATCCTATACCTCTATTCTCTCAAATCTTTCCACTCCTTCATCTACATTTCAACTGTTTTTCCCAAAGCTTCCAATATATGGAACATTCCCTCTTTTGCAGTCAGCTACTGGTTAGTTGGTCTGTTTGTTTGCTTGCTTGTTTTGAGACAGGGTCTCACTGTGTTGCTCGGTCTCAACTCCTGTGCTCTTGCCTCAGCCTCCTAGGTAGCTGGGACTATAGGTGCATACCACTGTGCCTAGCATTATCTCTTTGTAAAACACATTAGGTCTCCCTCCCCACTCTGTACTGCGGATTGAACCCAGGGCCTAGCCTCCCCTCTTTTAAAACATTTTGAGACAGGGCCTTGTGAAGTTGCTGAGGCTAGCCTCAAATGTGGGATTCTCCTACTTCAGTCTCTTGAGTAGCAGGTACTACAGGCATGCACCACTGCACCCAGCTCACACTAACCTTCCGAAGACATTTTCCTCATTCCCTGACTTAAACATTATTCTCTCAATCCTGTCCCATGCTCTGAAACTTTTTTTTTTTTTTTGGTGCTGGGGATCAAGTCCAGGGCCTGGTACATTCTAAGGTTGTCTTCTACCACTGAGCTACACCCCTAACTCCTAAAATCTGCTTATTATCTGTGTTTACTATCTCAGCAAACTGCATCCCTAGTGACCTCAGGAAATCTGGGAATTATCCTGCCTTTGTGTTCTCTCTCCTTCTTCGCTTGCAATCCAGTCAGTCTCCAAATCCTGTCAGGTCCTCCAAATTCTGCTAGACATCTCTTGAATCCATTCTCTCCTCTCCATCTCAGGACACTTCCTCCCTCCTGAGCCATGGCAGCAGCAGCATCCTCACTGCTGCTCCTATCTCAAGTTTATTCTCTCCTACCACCCTTCATGCCTCCTGTAAATCAAGCTTTTAAACATGCAAATCTGACCAGGCCAGTACCTGCTTAAAACCTTTAAGGGCTCCCACTGGCTGTAAGATAAAGCCCTGATCTGGCATTCAAGGTCCTTCTCTGACTTTTCCAGCTCTGTCTCTGGAAGATCCCCCTGTCACTGTTCCCACCCCAGACAGGCAAGTCCCCTTTCACCCTCTTTAGCACTCCCTTCCTTCACAGTCCCAGCCTGAGAGCTTGTTCCCAGCATAAAAATTACTGAAGAGAAAGAAAAAGAGAGACCATGTGGAGAGAGCGTTGGGGCAAGAGGAATAGCAGCCATAGCAGGAGAGGCTGTGGCTGGTTCACTGAGCTTCCTACCTGCCGAGAGCAGGAGCAGGAGCAGAAGGCCCAGGCAGAGGTGGTGACTCCAGGTCTCCATGGCCCTGTTACAGCCAGAGGTGGGGCAGGTCACTGGCCAGACCTAGGACAGCATCAGGCCCAGCCAGCAAGAATGGTGTGGACAGTACCTGAAAATCAGAAAAAGACTGAGAACTCTTGTGTCCACCTACCCTCTGGGGAACTCTGTGGCCCTTTTAGTTATCTGACCTTCTGATTCATACCTGCCCTACTATGTTAGTATGTGGCCCTTGGCACCTGTTGTTTTTTCCTTCTTTGCTGGTTCTTACCTCTTCTGGCCTGAAGTCTCTCTCCCTTTCTATGCTCTGTAACCATTTACTTCTAATCTCTCAATTTCCTTTTCTTCTGTAACCATCTTGGTCCCTCTGCCTCCCTGACTCTGATCTTTCTCTGCCCCTTTCCACTCTCCCTTTCTCCTTTTGTTTCAGTCCCCCCTGACTTCTGTCCTCTGTTCTTTGCACCTGAACTCTAGGTGAGTTTGTTGATCTCCCAGCAGAACCAGGGGTAGGAATGTTATCAGCCTGAGGGTTCTGAGGCATAGGATAGTGGCCCCTCCCTCCTTGCCCTTTTTATTAGCTTACAGGGTTGGGGCACCTGTGCCCATGGAAACAGCAATTGAAACTGACACCTCAGGCTGTTGGGACCTAAATTATTCAAATTCTGTAAAGCAGCACTCAGGCTGAGTCCATCCTAGGACTGAGTACATTCTAAGGTTGTCATAAGCCATAGGGTGTGTGAGGCCAGGGCCCATGGATGGCAATTGTTCTTCCAGCTCTGAAACCATTGCCTGAATTCTGGAGGCTTGCTTTCCACCTGCAGCTTTCCTCTCAGTGAGGCTAGGTGCTTTGTGCCATGAAACCTTTCCCCTCCTGGTGGGAGTCATGCTGAGCCTTAGGCCATGCCAGGGGATGCAGCCCGTATCCTCTTCACAGAGTCCTTGCAGTCTGACTTCGTCCCCTCCCTCCCTGACAATGTCCAAACACTGACAGTGTGGGGTTAGAGGGAAAGTTTAGGCTTTCAGCTCAGCTTTATGAGCTGTCTGATCTGGGTGATATTGAAACTCTGAGTTTCAGTTTTCTCAATCTGGATAATGGGATTACTGGTACTCACCTTGAAAGCTGAAGAATTAAATGTAATAACCAGAGAGTACAAGATAAGTGCCTAAGGTAGTAGACAATCAATAGTATTTGTTGTAAGGTGTGAGTTAGGACAGCTTCAGGATCATACACTTAAAATTCACAGGTATTTACCATGCAGTTTTACATGCTTTTGTCAAAGTTGGCCCATTAACTGACCAATGGCTATACATACTTTTCTGGCAATTACATTCATGGCCTAGAATCAGATATTGTAGATATGTCAATTCCTTGCTTTCTCCAGCCCAGTCCTCTCTCCTACATGATCCCTATATCCATCCACCTTCCCAATCTCCCTCTGGATGTTGCATGTGTTTCACATCATTTCAAAATGCAAGTGCTCACAATACCCAACACCCTTTCATTTTAAAAACTCTTAGCAAACTCAGAACAAAGAGGAACTTCCTCAACTTAACAAAGAACAAAAAATCTTATGGCTAACATTATATTTAATAGTGAGAAATTAGAAGCTTCTTTCCTAAGAGCAGAACAAGGAGGAGCAAATGAGAGCAGAGACATGGGGAAGCGAAGAGTGATGCATATTAAGATTTCTGGTAATATCAAAGGAGAAGAGCCTGCCCTTCCTTCTAGAATTACTGCTTTATGTCAACACGATGCAACTTGTTTCAGAATTCCTTTCAATGACAAAATGATTTGGGAGGAATGTAGGTACTCATAATAGGAGAATGGCATGTAGATTATTCTCAGTGATAAAGCATGTACTTGCCATTATGTGAAACCCTAGGTTTGATCCCAACACCAAAAAATAAATGAACAAATAAATAAGTTTTGAAGGCTTTGTAGCAACATGAAAAAACACATGATATATGAAATAGAATGTCAACTACAATCAGAGCCAATAGAAGTGGTATGAGGATAAGAATATAAACTTTCTCGTTAGACCAAATTGAGAATTCAGTTCCCATTTTCTCTCCCACATAAGCTGTGTGATCATCTGCACATTTCTTGATTTCTCTGGGTTTTGGTTTTCTTTGCCAGAAAGAAACCAAATTAAAAACTCAATAAATAAATATTAGTCCCTGTATCAAATGAAATATTTCTTATATTTAGTATGTTTTGGGGTGAAAATGTTATATTGAAAAAAAGTTAATAGTCCAAAATTGGTTAATTTATATTTTAAGTTGTTGATAGACCTTTATTTTATTTATTTATACGTGGTGCTAAGACTCAACCCAGTGCCTAACACATGCCAGGCAAGTGTGCTACTGCTGAGCCAAAGCCCCAGTCCCCAAAAGTAGGTGATTTTTTTAAAAAATATTTATTTATTTATTAAGATTTTCACATGCAATCTTTTTAATGTATGTTACATATTTATTTTTAAAAATATTTATTTTTTAGTAGTAGTTGGACACAATACCTTTATTTTATTTATCCACTTCCATGTGGTGCTGAGGATCGAACCCAGGGCCTCGCACGTGCTACACGAGCACTCTACTGCTGAGCCACAATCCCAGCCCCTAAAGTGGGTAATTTTAAGGAGTTATTATGGCAAAAAAATTGTAAATCATTATTATATCTCTAATTTGAAAATAATGAGATGACCACACATATAAAGTTATAGGATTTACAATAATGAAATGATGGAATCCTGGCCACAATTGTTAGGAAAAAAGTTGACAGGAATTTATAAGGATAATCAAGCTGACAAGACCTGAACCAACACCTTCAAAGTGGGACAGCCACATGTGTCCTTTGAAGTAATAAAGTAGTTTAGTACACAGCACCACCTATGAAGTATTGGGAGAGGTGGGAAAGAATGGGAACCAAGTCTCTAGATCTAACCAACAGTTTATAAAAAATACGGCAGTAGAGGCACAGTGAAGTCCCCAGCCCTCTATTCTAAAGGACAGATGCCCATTACTTCAACAAATAAAGGGCATTAAAAAGTTGTAGGGGATGGGCTGGGGATTTAACTCAGTAGGTAGAGTGCTTGCCTCAAATGCACAAGGCTGTGGGTTCAATCCTCAGCACCACCACCAAAAAAAAAGATGGAGGGGGTGCTGTGCGTGGTGGTGCATGCCTGTAATCCCAGCAGCTTGGGAGACTGAGACAGGAGAATTGCAAGTTCAAAGCCAGACTCAGCAATGGCAAGGTGCTAAGCAATTCAGTGAGACCCTGTCTCTAAAATAAAATACAAAATAGGGCAGGGGATGTGGCTCAGTGGAAGTGCCCCTGAGTTTAATCCCTAGTACCAAATAAAAGAGAAGATAGAGGGTGACTTAGTATACTTTCTTTTTGATATTTTATCTATTTCTTATAACTTTATTTTTATATGGTGTGAGGATCAAACCCAGTGCCTCACATGTGTAAGGCAATTGCTCTACCACTAAGCTACAATCCCAGCCCCCTCTGTATTATGTAGACCCTGCTGAGATTATGATTCATGTAAACAAATTGGATTCACAGCTCTGTTGAGTCTTGGGAAAACTGGTTACGGTCTTTTGATTTTTGGGAAATTAAAACATTTTTTTTTAAAAAATGGGGCTAGGAGCTGGGGTTGTGGCTCAGTGGTAAAGTGCTTGCTTAGCACACGTGAGGCACTGGGTTCAAACCTCAGCACCAAATAAAAATGAAATAAAGACTTTATGTCTACCTACAACTAAAAAACAAATATTTTTAAAAAATAATGGGGCTGGGTGGCACACACATGTAATCCCAGAATCTCAGGAGGCTGAAGCAGGAGGATTGTAGGTTTGAAGCCAGCCTCAGCAACTTAGTGAGACACTGTCTCAAAATAAAATATAAAAAGGGCTGGTGATGCATCTCAGTGGTTAAGTGCCTTTGGGTTTAATTCCTGGCAACAAACAAAAAATAGGATTTGGAGATCTAGAAGAGATTTATTTCTTACCTTTAAGTGGTATCTAATCTCTATGATGCAACATGGCTTTTATAATAAACATTTGATTTAGAACTCTTTTTATATGAAGGAAATAATACTCGAAAAAAGAAATACTGCCCATATTCAACAATCTTTAACACTGCTAAAAGCTAATCACAGCACTCTTGAAAACACCTCTGGCAAAGAAAGCAGGTTAAGAATTCTTTGCTAGAAACCTAGCAGTGTTCTGTCACTCACTCAGGTGGTCAGTCATGGAGGGAGGGGGATTCCCAACTGAATAACATTGTCCTCAAGGGCCCCAAGTTTAATTGAAGCCCTGGCCACAGGGAAGAACCACTCTGCTTTCTTATCCCCTAATATCTCAGTCCAGAAGTCTTTGGCCTAATCCTAACTGGAATTTGCTCACAGCTTGTTTGAAAAATCAAAATAAAACCTGAGTAATACTTATTTTGCTCTTTTGATTCCTCTCAAAATAGCCCTGTGTAAAAGCAACATCCAGAATCATCATTGCCTTTACAAAAAGGAATCTGAATTTGGAAAGGTGCATGACTCAGGTGTTTGTTGTTTGGGTGTGGATGTGGGGCACTGGGGATTGAACTCAGGGCTTTGCACTGGCCAGGCAAACAGTTTCAGCCCCATTCCCTTTTTTAAGTTGTTGATGGATCTTTACTTTTTTGTTTATTTATATGCGGTGCTGAGAATCAAACCCAGTGCCTCATTATGCTAACCAAGTGTTCTATCACTAAGCTACAACCCCAACCCCCATTCCTTTTTGAGACAGGGTTTTGAACCCAGGCTGGCTTTGAATTTATAATCCTCCTGCCTCAGCTTCCTGAGTAGCTGGGATGACAGTCCTACAACATCATGCCTGGCATGACTTGAGATTTAAAAACAAACAAAAATACTCAAGTAGAAAAGCAAAGAAGCTTTGAATGGTAAATATATTCTATTGGGCAATATAAAGACCATCAACTGGAAATCTATGTGCATAAATGTGTAGCAATCAGTAAAAATTAATAATCAATTCCCTTGCCAGTAAATTTGCCCTTTGGGCTAGTTTGTGGTATCACTTCAGCACCAAATTAGTCTCCCTTTAACATAGCCTATCTCTATTTAGACTCTCCATTCCAAATACAGATTAAATCAAACAAGGCCACCATACAGATTTTTGATGTAAGAAGGCCCACAAATACAAAGGGAAATCCAATACCAGGAATGC